GCAAAGACTAAAGTCTCAAAACCAAAGAGATATTCTTTATCAAAGTTAAAACTCTGCCACGCCCCCCTAAAACGGCTCGTTCTAACACGCCCCCACATATCTACCTCACTATTTGGAAATATTTGCATAATGTGCCTGACACAAACAAACAACGCACTTCAAGTAGCACAGACCACAAAGGGGGACCGCAACGATGCTTATGAAAATTAACCATGGTTTTATTATAGTAAATGTAGTAACCATGTATTGATTACCAATTGTATAACCACAGTTGTACAAAAACCATGGCTAAACTAGGTTAGCGTGGTTTATTTACCATGGTTTAACCATAGTAACCATGTTTTATTTGTATTTATTTTTATATAAAGAAGAAGAAGAAGGATGTATATATAGGCTATTTATTTATTTTAGTAGTAAAATGTGCATGTGTTTTTTCATTTGCAGCGCGTTGAGCTCTCTCGGCCACCGTAATTATAGGAAATAAACAGAAACATCTGCTAATTAGTTGCTGTAGAACAAAATGTAAAATTATTCCAAGAGGCTACTGAGGTAATGTGACCTTATTAGACTTTCTTATTAATATTATACATTGTATTTGTTTTATACATTTATATATTAGTTGAATAACTGAACCAATGACAGACAAAGCATAATCCCAGTAAAAAGACATTCATCATAACGACATTTGTTTTCTATTATTCATGTACAGGCATTTGAATATTTACATATTTAATTGTCCATATTTTAATTGTAGATATGTCATAACAGCAACATTATAAATGCAAATGAAATTTCACTCAATTAGCCTATAGTTTGTAATGAAAAGCAAAAATATCTTAAATATACATCTGATTTGTTGAAATACTGAACAACAACCCCATCAATTACAATAAGTATTTATTTTAAAATAGTAATAGCAACAACATGCCATCTGTGCAAATTCTGGGCAGGGTTAGTTTTTATTTTGAAGTAAAAATATATCATTTTCACACCACAAATCTAAAAACAATAGTGTCCACAAATCACTCATTAACTTTGGTATTAAACATAATACTATATCATGGATCGCTGTTTTCCAGAGACACGTGACATTTTGCAGTAGAAAAACTCAAATTGCAATTTATTGTAAAACATACTTCAGTAATTGTTTGAATCGAAAATCAAGTCAAGACACAATACAAAGCAGAGCAGTTAACTGCGGTAAAATTAGGGAGGCAGAACATTTTCGGTAAATTTCTGGAATTTTTGGAAACTTTCCAGGATTTTTTGGACAATTTTGGAAAAAGTTTACGGAAACATTCCGCCCCTTTGCAACCCTAGGTAAAAAATCACTGTATAGGCACGACCTTGAGTGACCTACTGTTATTAAAAAAAATGTGGCGAGTCCAATATGCTAAAAGATAATAATAATCATTACAAAAACCACCAGCAATTATAGTCCATTATTCTAACTCTATGCTGAAATGATCTGGTGCATTAACACTGAATTACATTAATGTGCAGTGACTCTAAATTACTAACCGCTCTCATTGATTTCTTGTAAAGAGGTCTGAGAACAAAACCTGAATGAAAAGCACTCAGCCCTGAGAGAAGCCAACTAATGTTTCAGCCTCATCTGAATGCCAGGAGGAAGTAATGATGATTGGCCGACACACAACAGGCGCTCGGGTAACTCTCGGCCATTTTCGAGGAGGCAGGACACACACGCAGCCGAAACATAAACACAGCACAGGTGTGGAAGCGTTTCATGACACACAGAAGAACAGGTGGAGATGACGAGAGGTGTGGTTTCTCGCTGACAAGCTGCAAGTAAATTTTAATGGGGTCCCGCAGCAGAAGATGATACTGCTGAAGCGAGTAAAGTCGCACTGATTTGGTGCTGAGATGGGGTGACTGGGAGGCCCCAGTGTAAACGCATTTGCCAATGAGACGACCCAAACACGCTCACTTCCCGGGACTCAATTCACAGCCTCTCTCTCTCTTCTCTAACCTCTCACCCACTTCCTCCCCCATTAAAAGCACAGGAGGACAAAGCATGATGTCATCACCCCTCGCCCTGCATTGGTATTCCCACAGAGAGGGAAAATGCCCTCCCTTCTCTCTCTTTAAATGCCACCACAGCAAGTGCCGTGATGTTTGTCTCCAGAATACTTAACTCTAGAGATGCCGAAGCCAGCCAGTGTCACAACTTGGTTTATAATAGCCACGGATGATGATATGCACACAATACAACTCTATAATGACATAAGACAACCTATATATATATCAGTATGACTAATATTTACAATAATAGTATAATAATATTGATTCAAGATACATTAGAATTTAAAAACAGAATGTCCAGACCACAAAACCTTCAAGTCATAATTTAAACCATAATCATTAATAAAATAATAATAATACAATTTTCACAAACAAAAGAGGTATAGTTTATTATCCCAATTAATCGATGCTGTCATGTTCAAAAAGTATTCTATTTTATAGCCTTATTTGGCACTAAAATTTAATTCATGGGTATATCAGCCGTTTTAAAACAGTTCAGAAATTTCCAAGAAATGTAAGAATATTAAACATTAAA